CTTTTTCATTTTTTTTTTTTTTTTTTTTTTTTTTTTTTTTGTCTTTTTCCGTGTCCGGCAACGGATCGCAACCCTCAGTGTCGCCCCCGTACCGGACCGGGACCGGCAACGGGATCGCAACCCTCGGTGTTGCCCCCGCGCCTCGCTCAGCCAGTGAGCGGAAACCGGTCTGTATGTGGGATCCGAACCCTCGGCGGGAGCGCCTCCGCACTTCCCAAGCGGCGCACTAGCGCAGTGCGCCACCGGGCCGGCCCTTACATGTGCTTTTGACCAAGTCGCTGAACTTCTCTGTAACTCAGCTTCCTGATCTGTAAATCTGAAGTGGGAACACACACTTCATGTACTTGACAGCTCCTTTCTCCAACTCCTTCCCTTTAAGTTTTAGTGTTCCTCAGAGTTTGGTCTTTAGTTCATTGCTTTTCTAACTGTGCAAGTTCTCCCTAAGTGACTCATTCACTCCTCTATCTTTTGTTATTACTCATAGGATCAGTTCTTTCTGTGGGCTGTCTACTAGTGTATTCATCTGCTTATTGCAAATCACTGGCGATGAAGTTCAACATGTGCAGAGCTGAGCTCATCACCTTGCCCACATAACTAACTCCCACTTCTGATTTCTTGAGAATCAATAACCAACATTGCTACCCAACCTAGTAGCCTGTGAGATTAACTTTACTCTCCATTTACCATACCTTCATATGCATGCAACCATTTTTCAAGTACTGCTAATTTTGAATCGTAAATATTTCTGGAATTTATCTCTTTGTCTAAATATTCCATAAACAGATCAAATTCAAAATAATCAAGGCTAACCCCATACTAGCCAGTCGCCAAGAAAGAAACGAAGAACAAATATTCAAAGCTTAACTCATTACTTCTCCCTCCCAAACCTGCTCCTCTTCCCATGTGTTCTGTAAAGATGTTACTCCCATGCACTCGTTTGCCAAATCTGGAACTTGGACATCAACCTTTGCCTCCCATAACCAGTTAACTACCAATTCCTGATGTTTGGTGTCGTATTTGCCTCTTCAATCTATCCACTTCTCTTGCTATTATCTTTCACTTCATGCAGTAGCATCCTAATCAGTTTCCCTGCCTTCTGTCTTCAGCCAAAGTGTAGCCAGATCTAATCTCGTCAGCAACTTCCCCTCTGCAGCCCCCATTTTCTAATCCTTTGATTCCTGGTATGTTTAACTCTCTAGACTGCAAAATCTAGGATAGGGGTGATAATCCATTTACTCTTGTCTCCCTGAACCTAGCACAGTGTATTTGGCACATAACAGATGCTCAATAAACATGAACCTGTGCTCACTACCTTTCTGATCATAGGTTATTTAGAGCAGACAAACCCGTAACATGTTCTAGGTGAATGGGAACTCTGGTGGCACAGGGTAACATGATATGGCTGTTTTATGAACTGGAGGCCTTAAATAAAAGCTATCAGACACTAATTGCACGTAATAGTACCAATGAATTGTGCAGTCCGTATAGGAAAGGATGCATATCCCAATACATCTTTATGATGGGGCCTTAAGACTAAAGCCACTCTTATGGCTCTGGGCCAGTATCTTCCCCTTTCTGGGCACGTAAAAAGAGCATGCTGAAAGTGAAGAGGTAAAACCTCATAGCTGGGGTGAGTAAGAGAAACCATAGGGATCTGTGGGGGGCTGGCGCCCGCTTGCGCGCGTGCGCATGGAGCGCGGCCTTCCCGGAAGCCCCCGGGTGGAGGCGGGACCAGGCTGGTTCCCGCGGTTTGGTCCCGCCATTGGCGGGCGGTTTGAATGACGGAAGTGACGGAGCTCGGCGATGGCTGCCCCGCAGGCGCACAAACGGCTGTGGGGCAGCTGATCGGCGGGTGCTGCTGAGGCGTTCTTCCTCTGAGTTACGCCTCCTGACTCCGGGCGGGTTTTCAGGTGAGTGACGGAGGCGCCGGCTTCCCTGCCATCCCGGGGGTACACTACTCCCTGCGGCCCAGGAGCTGGACGTGTGCCCCGAAGGAAGGGAATCCCGGGAAGGCGCCGCCTCGGGAACGCAGCACGGCCCGCGGTTCTTAGGCCTCGGCAGGCCGCGTGCCCCGGAGGCGCGCCCGGCCCAGAGCCTCCTCCTTCTTGCGTCGGGCTGCTCCGGGGTCTTTGCGCGAGTGGCTTTGCGCACTGTCCTGGGGTCAGGTCGGGCGGGCTTCCCCTGCATCCTCCCCGGTCCCTCAGCTTCCAAACCGGGACGGCCGCGAGGGCCTCCGCCACTGCTGCACACACTTCCCCCAGGTTCCCAGCGAACGTGGCCTGAAACCTGGTAGCCGTTTAAGAGCATTTCCTGCAATCGTTTCATGCAACGAGCACGCTCTCATTTGGTGTCTGATCCCTTTAATTCTCAGGTATTAACTTGTCACTAACTCGGCTTTTAAAACGGTGGCGACTGTTTGAGCGTTTAATACTTAGACTGTATTTGCCGTTTCACACTGGTTAAATCACATAATCATCAGAACAAACCTATTGGGGCAGATATACTTCCCTTTATACAGTTTAAGGAAATGAAATCAGTGACTTAAGTGACTTGGCCAGTGTCTTTCTGGTAGTAAGTGGCAATGTTGGGGCTTGAACCCAAATCTTCTAAGTTTAATATTAATTTGTGATTACCATGTGCTAGGTACCATTAATCCTCAGGATAAAATCTCACAAGATAAGTGGTATCATCCCCTTTATTGGATCGTAATAAAACACAATTTAAAATCTATATTGATAGGAATAAATAATTTAATAGGAAAAACTTCTTACAATAGGATTTCAATTGCTAAGCTTAGAAGGAATAATGGAAATAGAAAGTACCATTTGATAAAGACCACAGTAGTTGTTTCAGACAGCAGTCATAAATGGATACTAAACTTACTGGGCAAAAGTAGGATGAGAAACATTATATTTATATGGCCTCAACTATCTCTTTATCAGATACTTACAACTTATAAGCGAAAAGTAGTAGCTATAGTGGAGAGACCTCATAGACATCACCTTCATATCAAAATTCAAAATTTTGATGTGAAAATTTTGCCATCAAAATTCACATCATCAGCCGTAAGGTTTTGCAATATCATTTACCTCTTGACATGATACACTGAAAAAGGTAACATCACTCCCACGATGTTCTTGCTAAAAATGCATAACCTCATTCTAAACACAAGAAAAGATTAGACCAATCCAAATTGAGGGACAGTCAACAAAATAACTAGCCAGTATTTTTAAAAAATGTTAGGATCTTGAAAAGAAAGACTGTCCCAGATTAGAGGAGACTTGACAACCTTGGCAGTCATGAGAATGTAACCATCTCCTGCATTCTGAAATCCCCGATTGCATGGAGGCCAGCTTCTCATGGGCTGCTCCTATACAAAGACTGAGTGGCAGGAATACTAAAGGAGGCCTGTCTGTGAAAAACCCCAAAGGCCTTGCTGCACCTTCCTTAGACTGCATGGCTATCTAAGAGGCACTTACCCATTCCTCTCTTCCTCCTTCATTCAGTGTCAACCTTGCATTGAAGTCTGAGGTGCTCCTAGCTCTTACCATCTCCCTCCCTGTTTTGCCTTAGGCAGCCAGTTCCCCTAACAAAATCTGTGGATTTAATCCTATCTTGGCATCTTCTTCTTGGAGGACCCAGAGTTACACAACAACAAATGCAATATGTTGTCCTTGGATTGGATCCTTATCCAGAAAATAGACATTAGTGTCTATTAGACAATAGGTCTGACAAATTTTGAATAAGGTCTATAGATTAGTTCAAAGTATTGTGCCAATGTTAATATCCTGGCTTGGATCATTGTATCGTTGTTATGTAACCAGTTGTCATTTGGAGAAGCTGAGCAAAGAGTGTATGGGAATTCTAAGTCAAAATATTTCCAAATAAGTTTAAAAATCTTAAAAATCATACACAAGGGAAAACAAATATTCTGTCAGATTTTAGGGGCTAAAAATAAGTGTATATATGTTTTCCTAAAATCCTCTGGCATGAGATGATGGACACTCAAAGGAATCTGAAAAATTAGTTTTTTTTTTCTTTTATATTGAGCTATAACGAAGAATAAAGTACAGATATTTAGGTGTACCTTTTCAGAAACTTTTACATATGTATACACCTGTGTAACCATCATACAGATCAAAATATAGAATATTTCCAGCACTCCAGCATGCTCCTTTGTGCCACCTCCCAGTCAGTAACCTCCAGAAAGGTAACACCTATTTTTACCTCTCATCGTGGATTAGTCTTGCTTGTTTTGAACTGCATATAAATGGAATTTTATTGTATGTTCTCTTTTATGTCTGGCTTTTTTTTCCATTCATTGATATTCTGAGATGCATCAGGAATTAGTCTGAGTATGAGTGAATTGTCAAAGACTTTCAGACAAATTGATAAAGGCACATTGTGAAGACTAAATTTAATCTTGGTCATTTTTTTCTTCAGTTCTTCACTGTTCTTCAGTCCTCAGTTGTAAAAAACAACAACTTAAATAAAATTTTCCTCTCTCCACATGTTTCAGCATGTTGGAAAGTTAGAAGCCGTTTGGGATAAGGAAACCAGATTCTTGCCTAGGCTCTGCCACTAGATATTGCCCTTTCATTTAGGGCAAGTCCTTTAACCCAAGAGGCCCTTGTTTGTTCATGTGCAAAATAAGAAAAATAATCAGCACTTTGTCTACCGTTACTAGAGCCTTGTGAGTATCAAATGAGTAGGATGCATTAAAAGATTTTTAAATGCAAGCAGTTATTCCTTTTTGACATAAGAGTCCTATTGAAGATAGTAGTAACGACTGTGTATACCTATGTAGCACTTTGCAGAATTAGTTCACTGAATGAGGCATTCATTCAGTCAACACACTTACTGAAGTACCTACTATGTGCAAGACACTATTTTTAGGCTATGGACATAAAACAGCCAATAAGGTCATACCTGCCCTCATTGAGTTTACGTTCTGATGGAGAATTCACTGTAAAAGTATTAGTCCCTATTGGGTAACCCTGCAGACTCTTTGCCCTCTGTTTATAGCTGATTGAAAACTGTGTGTGTTCATAGTAAGTGCTATAACTTACTGCTAGTTGTTATTGTAAAACTTTATTTAAATATTAAAATTTTTAAAAACCAAAGCCACCATCCTTCAACTGTTAAAAAGGGCAAACCTGTAATTGATGAAAAACTAGAGGAGGTAATACCAAGACAACATAAAATTAGTCCCCATATGAATATATATGTAATATGAATTATAGATGGGCAAGTCAGGAGTGGGTGGGTGAGTAGAGCAGGAATTACTAGAGGACAGCTTCATGGAAAATTAAATATGTGGACATTAAATAAATAAGTACGTAGTAACCCAGTTTGCCTGCCTGGTCATTGTAAGGAAACCTAAGAAATGTTGACTTGTCTCAAATAAAATCATAGTTGTGTACTGATGTTAAGTGTCTAATTTTTGGAAATGGTGGTAATGGGAACACATTTGTATCAGAGTTACCTGAGGAGGGTCTTCAAATTATAGAAGCTATAGATTCTTACATTTTTTTCATTTCTCCCCACCACAGTCCCCCAAATAGGGGCATATTATAATCTGTGGAGAAGAGTGAGAACACCTGAGTGTAAACAGTAGCAATAGAAGAATAAACCTGGGGGCTGAGCCCGTGGCGCACTCGGGAGAGTGCGGCGCTGGGAGCTCAGTAGCGCTCCCGCCGCAGGTTCGGATCCTATATGGGGATGGCCGGTGTGCTCACTGGCTGAGCGCGGTGTGGCCAGTCTCAAAAAGGACAAAAAAAAAAAAAAAGAAGAATAAACCTGGGATCTAAACACTTGACACATCCAAACAGAAATATTCTAAAAGGGATTTTTAATGGTCATTCACTTGCAAATCACAATGTAATTACTGAAGAATTACTGTAGAATATAAAACATGGGATTGATGGGATTCCATGAGATACAGTGATGCTTGGTAATCAAGTTGTATACAATAGACTGGGAGTTGAATCCAGGGACCAGAAGTCCTTGAAATTACAGCAGTCTTGCTGGTATGAACAAGTTATAGAAGTTCTAAGGTGTTAAATTGTAGTTGTGAAAACATTTATTCTATGCCAACACATCTTTTTAAGTCTTTGCTTTTTTACATTTAGGCTAGATAAACTCCGGAAATGCCAATGAGGAATAAGTCAGGTCCCGGTTACTCAGAGTGAACAATAATCTGCTGTAGGTGGGGACACACTTTTCTGAGTAATTCTGATCCACTCTTTACTTCCCCCTTCTCACTCATCTGAGGACCACTGGTCTAAGTGCTGAATTTATAATTTCTCTTTCTAAATAGGTTGGACTTTGTTTACCCAAATTATTTTATTTGCATGTATACAGCCTTTTAAATGTCGAAAGTATTAAAGTGAATGTTTAAAATTAATCTTTGCTGGCCTATTTTAATGGTATATATCCTTATGGACATTTTACTCTTTTTAAAATTCAGAGGATTCCTACTGGAAGTACACGGAAATGAAAAGAAAAGTAGTAAATCCTGGCAAGCTGAGATTGAGTCCTAATGAGGAAGCCTTCATTTTGAAGGAAGATTATGAAAGAAGACGAAAACTAAGATTGCTACAGGTATGATTTATTTGGGATACAGTTTTAAAGTCTTTGTCTTCCCAGATTATTTGTATTTTTTTGTATTAGAATGTTCTAAATAAAATTTTGCATTTAAAGGCCTTTTTCAGCTGTACAAGCGCCCTGGTACTTGCATATTAACTAGTTTTGAGACATTTGAAAAATAGGCTGAGATGGTAAGTAGATTGGAGAAGAGTTGGAAGATAGGTATTATTTGACTCAATAAATATTGGAGAATAGTTCTTGAAATATCATTTTTTTAAATGCTCTATAATTGATGAAGATTAGAACAGGAAGCTTAGAATGACTTTGAAGAAGACCTATTGGAAAGATTATTAGCGGCTGGAACAAATTTATTAGAAACTTGCAGCTTATCCTTTTGTAGAAGTCTTTAGAGGAATATAGTTACATCTTTGTGAAGCAAGTTTTGGGTGCTATTCTGTCTAGAATTAGAGATGATGTACCACAGAAATGGCATTCTTATCTGGCTCTATCTATACTCCTCTGGGATATAAAGTTTGTGGAATAATGTTTACCATTTTAACCTATTATAGATTAGCAGAGTGATAATAGCAATCCCATTAAGGATTGGGGTACGGAGGGAGGGGAGGTAAAAGCTAATCAGTTAGGGGACTTTAGAAGTAGTCTTGAGATTTCTATTTTTTCTACATCACTTCGATTTTCTGTTTTACATAGTCCTTATCTGATGTAAGATGAATATTCAGGAAAATTGACTGACCTGAAGAGAACTCATTTGGGTTCCTGTTTTCAAATAAGTTTTCCAAAAAGTTTAAGTAAGCTTTCTTCCATTGTTGAATACTAATTCTTCAGGTTCGAGAACAAGAAAGAGATATCGCCTTACAGATAAGAGAAGACATAAAACAGAGGAGAAATCAGCAATTTACTCGTTTGGCAGAGGAGCTAAGGGCAGAATGGGAGGAATCACAAACTCAGAAAATACAGAACTTGGAAAAACTATATTTGGCAAGTTTAAGAAATATGGGAGAGGGACATCAACAGGCCAAAGAAAATGTGAGTGAGAGCTTATTTGACTACTTGATTGTGGTGCTAATATTAGTTAAAAATAAATTACAGTTCTTGAATGCTTGTATGATAAAAAATGTTTTCGTGTATAGAATTTGTTTAGGACAGCCTGAGCTTTTTTATCAATTTCATGTAGTTCGAGAATAACTATAGATTTATTCCTAGGAAGAGTCATGTCAAGTAAAATTCATGTCAAGTAAAATCTATCCTCCTGTGGTGTTTAAATTACCATTATTCTCTTCTAGTACTTATCTACCTGGGTAAATAAAATAATAACCTCTGAATCAGAAATTGTTGTTCATCACAAGCATTTTACACAGGTTCAGTGGGGTGGATCTAGATTTCCCATTTCAGTATCATTCCTCATACCTCTAAACATGTGCTATTGTTGAACATATATACACTTGGATTTCAAACACAAATAGTAAAAATTCTTTGATGACTTTCAAAAAAAGCCAAAGTAGAACTTAGTATTTAAGACTGTTCCCTGACCTTGATTTGTTTTTGTGATTTCTGGTTGGAAAATACTAGTTTGTGGTCCTCAGAGTCAGTCACACACAGTAAGCAAGCTGGTTCTAAAGAAGGCAAATCTTTGATAACAACTAGTGAGGAAAAGAAATATCTTTAAAAAATGTGGCAATCTGTTTCTTGGTTTTAGTCTGTATTTTTAATAATAGCCTTAAGTTATGACATCAGACTTTTATAGCTTTATTTGTGCCACCATTAACTTTGTGCTTTAGTGCAGTGTTTCCCGAGCCTCAGTCATTTGAATATCACCTTCACAATTTTGCCCTGACTGGAGAACCCACCCATATTACTATATATTTGGCATTTTGATTTAAATGGACTCTTTTATTACTTAACTTAACCTTTGTCCTAAGTAATTTACTATTCTATTTTTGTTTTTGTAATAGTATGTTAAATTATTACATTAACTTTAAATTAAAATATTTGTGTTTTTCCTCCCTAATATAGCATATCATCAGTGGTATCATTGCTGTGCTTTGAGAAACACTGCTGTAGTATGTAGGAAGAGGATGACAAAATTGAGAAGTCACTTCTGTTCTGATATCAGATAAGGTGTATTTCTGTTAATCTTGTTTAAAGTGACATTTTAAATAATAAATAAATATTTTTAGGAGCCTGATTTGGTTGCTCTGGCACAGAGGGCAGCAGAAAGGAAAAGAAAAGCAGAAGTGAGGCACAAAGAGGCCCTGAAAGTACAGAAAAATCAAAAAGAAGTATTAATGGGACAAAAAACCTGGTAAAGTAATAATAATTTTTACCATATTCCCAACCGAAACTGATATTGCTGGAAGTAGAGGGTACATAGGATACTGTGTGAGCAGATGTTAAAGTTATATAATGTGTCCATTGCATTTGTTAAACTTGGTTTAAAAAATAATGCATTGGGGGAGTGAACATAGTGACAAATGAGCTTTCTCTTCTATTTGGTTTTAAACATTCTAAGTTTCTGGGAAAGTATGGCTAGTTCAGAAAGCACATAAACCAAAATCTGTTTCTGATATGAAAGAAGTAAAAATAAGTGTGGTTAAGAACATTAAAAGACTGGTCAGATTGCTCACTTGGGAAAGCATGGTGCTGATAACACCAAGGTCAGGGATTTGGATCCCCATACTGGCCAACTGCCAAAAAAAAAAAAAAAAGGATATTAAAATAGGTTGTAGATTCTGTGGAAGCCAATAGTGATTAATTTTTTCATGTTGTGAAAGTTAAGGACCCCATTACTAGTTAGCAGTGGTCATTTAAATAATGACCCATCTTTATCAACATTTCAAATTTTTTTTTTACTCTAAACTATTCTAAACTAAAGAACATTAGATATTTGTCGGGTTGGTTCCCACTATACAGCTTTATGTCTTTCGAGATGCCTCTTTCAATTGGTAAACATTTTCTTACATTTCCTCTGTGATAGATTCTTTATTAAACAGCATGCTGAGCCTGTGGGATCAGACTGGAGGATTTTTTGAGATCCAGTGACTTATATTTTTAACTCAGAGGATTGTAATATTAGCTGAGAGATTAATTGATGACATTTCTTGTTTTTTAAGGCATATAAAAGTTCGAAAGGAAGCACTGCTCGTGGAAAAACAAAGATCTGCCAAAATTACAAGTCTGCCACCTCCTCCTCCATCTCTTTTTGAGGTGAATTACTTTGAATGTTGAGAGTAACCAGCTTATAATTCTTTACTATTAGAATTCAGTGGAGATCAAAATAACTATCATTTGTTTAAACTTAATTTTTAATTGTACAGTACACATGAGTATATCTGGAATATTTAAAAATAATCCTAGGTATCATTTCACCTGTAAATACTTTAGTATGTATCTCCAGTGTATAAGGACTTTTGTCTTAGTATAATACTAATATTGTTTCCACTATCGTCCAATATGTATGTGTTCAGTTTTTCCCAATGGTGTCAAAAAAATTTTTGTGTGAAAAATATAATCGTTTTGATTTTTAAAAAACTGTTAATAGTCTTAACTTTTTTTTCTTGTTTGGTGTTTTTTTGTTTACTGCCCTTTATTTTACTGGGGAGTGGGGAGAAAGAAAAAAGTAGATTATTTGTTCTTTAGGCTTTTCTACATTATGGATTTGGGTCATTTTTAATAGTCACCTTTTTACAGATAAAGAAATTAAGGTTCAGATAAGTTCATAAATTTGTCCAAGATTATAAAGTAATAAGAGAGGTCTGTTTCTTCATAGGAGTAAAATATGTGCTTTTGTGATTTGGAGCTTTTTTTTTTTTTTTTTTTTTTTTTTTTTTTTTTTTTTTGTCTTTTTTTCGTGACCGGCAACGGGATCGCAACCCTTGGTGTCGCGTCCGCACCTCGCTCAGCCAGTGAGCGGCCGGTCTGTATGTGGGATCTGAACCCTCGGCGGGAGTGCCGCTGTGCTCCCAAGCGGTGCACTGTAGCAGTGCGCCACCGGGCCGGCCCGGGAGCTCATTTTTTAATAGCATTTATTAAGTGGAAATTAATTTTTTAAAGTATTGGTTCTCCAGTTCACATTAGCTCATCATGGTTATTGAAATGGCTATTTGGATAATTATCAAAATTACATAGTTATTTTTATCTGGAAATTTAAGTAGAAGTAAAAAAACACCTGCAAATACAGGGATGCCTAGTTTACTTGTATATATTTACTTGTATAAATTTATGTATATGCAATTAGCAGAAGTACCGGATATTCAGCTCTTAGGCCTTTCATTTTGTGAGCCTTCCTGCTTTTTTGTTGAGCCATCTGCCATGTAACATTTGATCCAGCGAGATTCAGGTAGAAGGGTCATATTTCATTCACTCCCTCAGTACAGTGTGAGATGACAAAAGCAGGCCATATTTTATCCATGATGCCTTTTGATTGCCTTTGTCATAATTCGTAATGTTCACAACAGTCCAGGTCAGAAATTTATAAAAAGCAAACACAACTTTGGATAAGTGCTTTGGCAGGTATGAATTATATGTAAATGTTAAATGGTTATACTTTTTCCCCCAACTTCTTCTTATGACAATTTTTAAAATACAGAGAGATTGAGTGCAATGAATGCCTGTATTGTATATAAATTTCAAAATGTGTATATATGTGTATACATTTAATGTAAATTTCAGAGATGGCATTTCACCCTAAATACTTCCACATGCTTCTTGTAAGAATAAGGATATTCTCTTATGCAATCACAATACCATTATTACACTAAGAAAATTAACATTAATTCCTTAATACCATTTTATATTCAATCCATAATCAAAATTATCTGATTGTCCCTAAAATAGTCTTGTCATTTTTTCTTCTTTTAAACCAGGACCCAGCCTAGTGTCACACGTTGTTTCTGCTTGTTTTATTTCTTTGGTCTCTTTTTTTTTTTTTTTTTTTTTTTGTCTTTTTCCGTGTCCGGCAACGGGATCGCAACCCTCAGCGTTGCGCCCGCGCCTTGCTCAGCCAGTGAGCGGGAACCGGTCTGTATGTGGGATCCGAACCCTCGGGCGGGAGCGCCGCCGCGCTTCCCAAGCGGCGCACTATCCAGTGCGCCGCCGGGCCGGCCCTCTTTGGTCTCCTTTAATCTAGGAAATTATCTCCTCTAACCCAACCCAATTTTTTTCAGACCTTTTGAAGAGACTAGTTTGAAGAGATTAGACTAGTTTCTTATATTTTCTGCTTTTGTCTCATTTCCACATGGGATCATGCACTCTGTGTTCATTAAACTGGAAGTCAGGATTAAAAACTTGCTTATAGGGCCAGCCCGGTGGCGCACTGCGCTAGTGCGCCGCTTGGGAAGTGCGGCGGCGCTCCCGCCGAGGGTTCGGATCCCACATACAGACCGGTTCCCGCTCACTGGCTGAGCAAGGCGCGGGCGCAACGCTGAGGGTTGCGATCACGTTGCCGGTCCCAGTCCGGTACGGGGGCGACACTGAGGGTTGCGATCCGTTGCCGGACACGGAAAAAGACAAAAAAAAAAAAAAAAACTTGCTTATTATTAGGCAAGTATAGATGATGCTGTATAGTTTATTGCATCACACCTGGAGGCACGTAATATCAGGTTGCTTCCCTATTAATGATTCTAAATTTGGACATTTGGTGTGACTATAAGATAGTGACTATAAGAGATCTCTATCAAAAAGGTATATATTCCCTTTTCAACTACCAAGTAATCTATGATTTGGCATCAAGCAGGAATCTAACATCCTTCTACATTGATTCGTTGGCCTACTTTTGTGTAAAAAAAAGAAAGAGAACTTTCTGTTAATAGTGGACATGAACTATAGCTCTGTGTAGGAAGACAGTGTGTATTTCTTGTTTTTTCTCTTTACCAATTTTCAGAATAAAGGGTTGGTGTAATAATCAGTTCCAATGGTGGCAAATGGATTTTTCCTTTCTCTTTTGTGACTATCACTATGGACTTGTGGATATTTATTTATTCAATATTACATAGTCAATTATAGTAATTATTCTTTTTCTTCTTTCTGATGTTTGTAATGTCTGAAATTTGGTCAGTAGGAGACTCTTCAAGCTGGTTCTATATCCCCATAACACCTTGAGCACTTCCTTGATCTCTGGCCCAGTAAATGACCCAGGCTCACTGTGTACTTACCCTCTACCACATCTGGAATCTCCAAAGAGCCCTGGTTCTTTTTAGCATAGAAGTGGTACTTAGAAAGTAAGATCTGGGGCCGGCCCGGTGGCGCACTCGGTAGAGGGCGGCGCTCCCGCCGAGATTCGGATCCCATATAGAGACCGGTCCACTCACTGGTTGAGCGCGGTGCGGGCATGACATCGAGGGTTGCGATCCCATTGCCAGTCGTGGTACAGGCGCGACACCGAGGGTTGCGATCCCGTTGCCAATCGCGGTACGGGCATGACACCGAGGGTTGCGATCCCATTTACCGGTCATGAAAAAAGACAAAAAGAAAAAAAAAAAAAAGAAAGTAAGATCTGGGTGATTATATTCTTTTTTATTTTTTTATTTTTTTTATTTTGTCAATATACAATGTAGTTGATTATTATGTCCC